AATTATGTGTGAATTTATTTAGAGATAAATTTGATTGCGATTTGGAAAACAAGTTTAAGATTTTGAAGGAAACCGATCGACTGAAAGAGTTATCGCAACACATCCATCACATCTTCGTGTCCATGGAATTGATTCCAGAAAACTCTCGACTTCTGTTGAGTGCGTGGAAAGACTTTCTCATTTCCATCGCTAGAGTCAGTAATTTTCGTTATTATTATTATTTCAGTTGTATTTATTAATTAATTATTTTATTTTACAAACAGTTTGATCCCTTTAATATCAGCAAAGAATCAAAAAGTAAAATAAGTGAACATATAATCGATTGTCTGTTAAAACAACTCCAGAAAACATCGAATATTGATAACAATATAATCACAATATTTGCCGATATTTTGTTAATAATATTTGACAAATGGAAGCGAACTTGTATTGAATCAGAACAAGAGTGGCACTCATCGATGGAACAGTTGTTAAGAGCTGTGGATGACGTGAAAGAAAATCTTTCATTCAATACCTTGAATTCAATCGAAACTTCAGTTATCAAATACTTGCAATTATTCACAACTGACTTCAACTCATCCGAGTTTATGGTCTATTCGGCGAAACTATTAAACCAAAGCTTAAGAGTAATCGAGAAACAGATTAAATCACCGAAGAGTTCGTTAGAAACTGAGTTCAAGCTGTCGATCACTTCCATTGCTTTGATGCAGACATTAGTCAACTTAAACAGCACTCGTGTCTCGTATTGGCTACAAGTCGTGAGAACACATTTCGTGATGGAATCGTTGGCCAATCTTCTGATCTATTTAATTGAGAACAAACTCGGCGTTCAATTGGCCGCTCAGATAATGTCACTGTTTGTGGAGTTGTCGTCAATACAACTGTCTTCCGAAGCCTTATATCTAATCGGTTTTGTCGAGAATTTGTGTATTTCTCTTCAAAATTCTTACATTTCTAGTGCTGATAGTGTGGCCACAAAGAGTGAAATCAATTGGATTAATGTCTTCCATTTGTCACTACAAATGATTACAAACTTAGTCAACCAATTAAGACATCATTTCGTGGATATTGCCATCACTTATGTTGCCATACATTTGGATCATATCACAGATGTTTTGACTAAAGTTCGCACTAAACCCAAAACTGAAGACATTCACGAGTCGATACAAATGATCACTTTATGTCACTCCCTATCACTCTATCATAAAACCTGGAAAACAAATCATTTATTTTCGTTTCAACAAATCGAAGACCAGGTCCTGAAGACCAGCAATTCTGTGATTGCTTTTCTCATTAGACCCAACTTCATGTCATATTTAATGGAAAATCCCAACACTTCTGCCGCTCCTGTTGTGCCTTCAGATACGGCGCCAAAGAGAGTGTCGCCGACCGCTGCCTTTGACGGCAAAACCCTTCGTAAATCTGTTTCGTGGGAACAGGAGTTCACCAGTCATTCAATTGACCAAAATCTTATGGATTCACTCTTTAAATTTCAAGCCTTTTCTATCGCTTTTCTGCAAAATATTTCTCCAAATATATTGGAACTCATGGAAAGACAAGGATTTGATGCCAACGATTGGAAACTCATACTAAACCTGAGTTTTTCGTCGCCTAATATTGACCCCAACCTAACCGTCAGTTTTGGTTCACTAATCAATTGTATTCATATGTGTATAAAGACATTGAATCGAGTAAATGATTGTTTGGATTGAATTGAAATTGTTTATTAAATGACATTATGTTTTACAGAAAGAGAAAGCACTGGAATCTGAGAGACAGAGCCAACAGACATCAGAGTTGGTGCCATTCATCTTCGAGACCAGTCTATCAGTGATAGTGTCTCAGGCAATGGTCGCTCAGTTGTCGACATCCATTTCCGACGCCGACAAACAGAAGATTGTTCGCGACGTTAAGTCAGAACTCGTGAGTCACTCAATACGATAGTTATTAGTGTTTAATTGAAATGTCTGTTACAGAGCACTATTTTATCCACTGTTGGTGGCGGTAGACAAAGACGAACCTCTCAGTCATTGTCAGTACTGTCGAGTCCTAAAAGTCCGACCACTTCTCTAATCGAGAGACCGTTTGTCAAGTTTTTGCTTCAATTTGTCGATAAAATATCGCAATAATTATCAATCAAACGGTATAATACAATATGTAATACAATACTGTATTCTATTAAAATTCTGCTATTTTTGATTCCACTGCCAATACTAATATCAAATGAATGGTATTTTTAATTAAATTTGACTATTAAATGCTTTTTATTAAAAATGTCTTTTTTATTAAACTTATAATAAGTACGAAATTAGTTAAAAGAAATATTAAATAAAGAAATGATAAATAAGAGATAAATAAATGGGAATAAATTCTACTAACAATTCATTTAATGTCTGAAAATTAGTTAATTCGTATCGTCTGAGAAGAATGGATGAGTCAATGCTTTGGAAGCACTCCATCGGGTCTTAGGGTTTGGGTCCAAGAGTTTGTCCAACAGATCATATGCAGAGTCGGGAGCTTTGAATGTCGATCCCTTCCCTCTGAGGCGTTCGCAGATTTGCTTCAAATTCATCGGAAGATAATTACTCGAAATGACGAGAGTTTTGTCCAAATCTTTGGCGGTTTTGAGGAGACGTTTGGAACCAAATATTGTGATGATTTCAGCCAATGATGTCATGTCATCGGTGTTGCGGAAGAAGGGGTACCTTCCGCTCAATAGTGAAGCCATTATCACACCAGCGCTCCAGATGTCGATTAAAGTGGTTTGTAATAAGTATTTGAGGAGTACTTCAGGCGCTCGAAAGCCCGGCGTTCCAGCCCTCGGAGCCACGAGTTCTGGCTTTGCTTTGCATGTATTGCAGACCTGATTGGCGCCCAAACACTCGCACTTGAGATCAATACTCCTATTGACTACACTTCGGGACCTTTTGGCAGATTTATAACGAGAAGACTTCGGCGTTTCGTTCACTTCTTTGGGAAACACCTCTTCGTTGGTCTCAATATTCAACGCTTTGTTCAGATTCTTCTGAATTGTTTTCGGAGGCGTTTCGGGAATAATAGAAATGCCGCACTTGACTGGTGTCGACATTATCTCTGTAGTGGTGGTGACGGAAGGCTTACTCGTCGGCGACTTAAACACAGTCGGAGTGATCGGGGAATTAAAGACACTCGACTCGACTCGTGTGGACTCGAGTCGCGCCCTCTTCGGCGCCACTTTAGACCTCTCCATAAGCTGTGCCTCATTTCGAGACCTCTTTCTGATCTGCCATTTGCTCTCATTTCTGACCAAAGAGTTTGTGTTTCCGGTGTTATTAGTGGCAGAAGTCGTGCAATCGTTTAACGCCAACCGCTTCGCAACGGAAGTGCTGTTGGTTTTGATATTATCGGGAATTTTGAACTTATTATCGATCGGCAAGTCTTTGCTTGAATGCAATCGTCTGAACGCGCCGTTAGTATAAGTCCTGACCAACAGTTCCCTCTCATTCTGAGCCAATCCGAAGTCCACTAACGCATACCTCCGAGTCTTGCGGTCGTACAGAAAGTTCGCCGGTTTTACGTCTCTGTGGATCACTTGAAAAGAGTGGACCCTTTCCAGTGATATCAACAGATTCTTCATATAGTGCTTCACTTCCTCGACAGACAATTGGTTGACATAATCAGTGAACTTCTGGTGCGGAAAGATAGGCATAACTAAGACGGTGTGACCTCTCGAGAAGAAGCAGGTCTTGAGATCAATGATATTCTTATTGCCGCCCAAATCGCGAAGATATCGCAGTTCGGAAGCAATCCTCGACGGCCTGATGGTTGGGATAATGTATTTGAGAGCATATTCTTTGCTCGAATTGTGCAGATGTTTGGCTCTGAAGACCTTCGAGAAGGTTCCCTCTCCTAACTTCCCGCACACCACGAAATGGCGGCTAATCTCCGGAATCGTGGCCAACATTAGCTTCACGTCATCGTCAGTCGTGTCCTCCACTGATCGCCAACACATTCAACAGACAATCCAATCAGTAATCAATGGCAACACAAAGACCACAAAACATACCTTTCTTTGGGTCTTCAATACGAAGTGAACTGAAGTTAGTGTTGCCGTTGAGTACGAATCGGGAACCGTTGCCATTGGGAGTCATTGTCTTTATGGAGCGGACAATGGGCTGACCATTGATGTGACCGTTGATGGCACTGATGGTCAGACCATTCATTTGGTTCGTGTTGTCCATCAGTTTCATGGCTTTCCGACTCATTATTCGGCTCTTGATTCGCATGTTTTCCATCGAGAGCTCACTTTCGGTCAAATGTGGACTCATTGGGATGGACGCCATCATTGTGTGTGTCTGTTGTGTGTCAGTGAAGACACCCGAAGACAATGAAACGGATGTCCCAAGAGATGTGAGGTCTTTCAGACAGTGGCAGTGACTGCGAGACTGAGCGCCAGTTTGTGTGCAATTGAGCGCCAATTCATTGAACACAGACTTCGCGCACATTATTTTCAAACCTCTGTTCGCTGTCACTATGTTTTTGAACGCGTTTGCCGTACAAACCAATGCAATACTATTATCGTTGTAACACTATTTGTGAACAACCCGTTGCCGTACTTTTCAAAAGTTTTGAATCACAAAAACATTGCGAAATGTGTTGACATTTGACTGCATTTCAGTGTTCATTGATTTGGCTATGATTTAGGGTTTCATTGATTAGTCAAACAAAACATGAGTTTATTTGACGACAACGACGACTCTATCATTGAAATACCGCTCTTCCAGAGGATTCAGTCCAAGACATCACACAAACACATCCACACCATCGCTGATGAGGTGGAAACCAATTACTCGCCATTTGATGATAGTTTGCCACCCATTGGACTCACGAGTGCCGGACCTGACGTTCAGACTGAAGACAAGTCCAATGAAACGTTTACTTTGGACTCGGATTCAGACGATGGACACCAAGAGTTTGGCGATTCGTTGCCACAAAATGATGGCTCAAACGATTCAATACAAGTGTTGTTCTGTTCGCCAACTGATCCCAAGAACAAAGCCACCGATGATGTGATAGACGGTGATAACGAAGCCATTGATGACAACGTGTCGTTCACTACCATTACAGACGCCAATCAGTCGATGAGATCCATCGGAAGCATTGATTGGACACCAATTAAACCGAGTTTTATAAACAGGACTCCGAAGATAGCGATGTGTCACAAGAAAGTTCACAATCGGATCCAGAGTTCGGTTAAGAAAAGCATCAATTGTTTGAACCGTAAGAATAAGAGTAATGAACAGAAAGTGAGTGAAAAAGAGGACAAAGAGAGGCAGAGGAATGAGAAGAGAGTGGAGAAAGAGATGTCTAAACAGCGAGAGAAGGCTCACAAAGAAGTGCTTAAAAGCCAAGACATTAAGCAATCGCTTAAGTATTGCATTGCAGTCATCGATCAGGAGTTATACGAAATGATTAAACAATTTTTGGACGATTTGTTTGTCAAAAATGAGTGCAATTATCGTTTGACAGACACTCCTTGTGTGCCATTGAGTGTCACATGGATTAGGAAGCGCTTGAATTTAGTTGAAGACCAGATGCCACACAGTAGTGGTCAGTCGGTGCCGTCATCGCAGGCCAGTGTCACCAACACTGAAGTGCATGAAAAACACATTCTTGTGGTCATTGAATGCAATCATTTCATACAAAGAGTGCATTCCTTTGTGACCAAAAGCGGCGAAACTCTCTTTGATTTTGTCCGACAAGTCATTCAGAAGTCAAACGTTAAGAATATAACTCTTTTGGTCCACAAATTAGAGCAGTATTTCAAACGACAGAAAAGCAAATCTCAGAACCAATTCAGACAACGCTTTAATGAATTGAATTCAGAAGAACCGAATTCAACGCAAAATCGTCGCCGAAATCAAAGACGAGATTCGATGCCATCGATCACTCGAGAAGAAGTGGATTTAGCGCTCATTGATATGGAGTTCCAACTCATGGACTGGAGTTCAGAATCCAAAGTATCCGTCATTAAAGCCAACGATGGCTCCGATATCTCCACTTATATCTATCGTTACACGCGATCAGTGGCCGAGTCGTTGGCCCGGAAACAGAAGAATATGCAGAACAATATGGGATGGTTTGCAGACGCGGACAAAAAGGGAACCGTAGACCCCATTGACGCTCAGAGTCACGAGAAGCTGTGGATACGACAGTTAATGCAATTCCCGAAAATCAGTTACGATGTGTCCAATGCCATCACTTCGCTCTACCCGTCCCCTCAGGCACTCTTGAAAGCCTATTCCGGTCATCCGAATCCGGGTCTGCTTTTGGCCGATGTAGTGGTCACTCGACGCCAACCTAACGGTACGAACACTGGACGCAAATTAGGTCCAGAATTATCGCAAAAGATTCACTTGTTTATGACCTCAACAAATGGCGACCAATTGTTGAACAGTACATAAAATGATGCAATTTTTAAACATTTTAAAATTATTGTAATTTTATTTTCTCATTTTACATTATAAACATTTTTACACTTAATATGTATATATACTTAAGTCATTAAAAATCTATAATATTCTTTAAATTATATATTAGTTATTGAATTTCTAATTAAATTAAATACTTTTACAGAATATGTATACGTTTAGAGAACTTTCAGTTAGATTTGTGTTTTGTTTGATTGCTTTTAACCGTTAAAATCATTCCTAATATAAACGAAGCCAACAAACCCTGAATTATTAGTGGAAAGGTAGTGAAAACATATCAAATTCACAATAGAGTACCGGTTCTAATGACTAAATCAAACCTTTTTTCATATATAAATATAATTCAAACCAATTATTATTATATTAATTATGATTTGATTGGAAAATACAGTATTTGATTGCATTTTCGACACATTTATCGGAAATTCATAATACGGTTGTCGTATGGATTTGTTCGCGAAACTGTTTTCTCTATAAAATGATGAATGAATGCGATTATGACATACAGTATGAGAGAAATCAATACATTGCTGACACTGTGAGGGAAATTGAATTTAAATACATTGCTGTGTAAATTAAATAACTGAAACGATTTGAAAATATAATTACAAAACACTCATCGCTGGAACGGAATTATGATTTTCAACAAATATAATAAATTAAATCAATTGAAAAAAACCAATGATTCCTAATATTCGTATCAAAATAATCAATGGAAACCTAAACACGAATCCCACGTAAAGTGAGTGCAACGAAACGAAATGAATTTAAAATATATATAACTTATAAATTAAATTAATTAATAAAACTAATAATCAATTTGTTTTTCTCGTAACTACAGACCCATTCGCACGAATCAATCGACTGTTTTACCAGCGAATGGTATTTGGAAAGCATTTAGTGATTAATCCGGGTATTCATCGGAGCAATCCATTTGTTGATCACGTTTTTCAGTCACAACCGACTCATCCCTATTGGCAGAAGAAGTGGAGCACTCGTCGAATGAATCCCTTTTGGTTGTGACACAAGAGGTGCACAACTGATGGGTGGGAATCGTTTGGCAGACGGTATTCATCATCGGATGTGTGTTAACACCGCATGAAATCTTTTGGCCAATTATTTTGATGGCAGAGAACTTTGCCCTTTGATACGCCGATATCATGTTAAAGCCTAAGAATCTGCGCACAAAACAAGAACCCAATCAATGAATTGCCGCCAAAGACTAGTATTTCAAACAACAGGGTATGAATGCGCGGCTCTATTACCTGAGACAGACGTACTCCACGAGTATAGCGCACCCGACGCTAATGGTCTTGACGTACATGTGCTCGAAGATCTTGATGACGAGACAAGTGCCGGCCGCCGCCGAACACATTATCGATATAATGGCCGCCGTTTTGAACCAATGAGTGATCGTGAGGCCGGACGGGAGCCAGACGTGTCCCCTCTCCACTTCGTACAACTCGTTGCACACTTTGCACCGTACGTTCTCCGGGTTGGTGTACGACTCCATTAACCACTTGCGCAGACAGTCGTGGTGTACGGCCGACACGTCCCCTTTGCAGGCGCACGGCTGGATCAGTGGCCCGCAGTCCTTCTTGTCCGTGTCGTAACAGATCCAACACTCAGGTATGGATCGCGTGGACACCGATTGCTCCGAACGAAGTATTGTCACCGAATTGGTCGGCGAACAGACCAGAGCCTCGGCTTCTCGGATGTGAGTCATTGCGAACTCTCGAGAGGGCTCGCGCTTCAGGATTCGCCGAGGATTCAGAATCCATAGCCTTTCCGGTCGGATGCAGTTCCAGAGGACGCACGGGAACCATAGGGCGACCCCCAGTTCCACCACTCGGAACATAATTTGGTGATAGTTTCGACTCAAAACGGGAACTCTGTTCGTGTGAAACGAATAGTTTAGAAATATTTCAAAAGGGAGTCATATATTGTGTGTCCATTACTTGTCTTTCCAAAATCCGCCCAAAACTTCGGAAAACATGAAGAGAACTGTTATTAAGAGCAGAACGGCCTGCGATATGAGGCCGAGTCTGGACTGTTGTAGTTGTGAGAGATCTTGGGGTATAGACTCTTCTTGAATGAACGCTCCCCTAACCTATTGGACGGACAGATAAGAATGAGTAATTGCATTATATTTCGCAAACAAAGTATCCGTTACTTTGAAGTAGACTTCGACGCCATAAATAAGGAAGAATATGACGACAATCAGCATTAAAACGGCATAAATGCTGTTAAATATACTTAAAAATAAACTCTGAAACGAGTCAAACAAATCGATAATTAGATCAAACAGAATGAGAGCACAGGTATGCGATAAACCTTATCAGAAGCCGTTGGATCAGCAAACGTGAGCAAAACTAATTCAGCCATCAATAGAGAGTACGTGACGACATTGAAGAGTATGAATCCAGTGAATGATTTGCTCAGAAATGTCGGCCTCTCGACACTCACGTCATGCAAATGGAATACCTTTTCATTAAACAAATTAGGAATCAATTTATTTAATTGGTTTGAAACGCGAGAAATGAATTCTCAATGCAAACGAATGGATACTCACTTCAGCCCAAAAGCAAACGACTAAAGAGGATCCGCTGAGAAGTACGGGATAGTAAGCACTCATCAAACTCTCGGCCCATAACAGGCCTCCGTTTGTGGGCGAAGAGAAGTAGAAACCCCTGATGGCTGTCGCCAGACATATGAAGAAATAGAGAGCTTTTTGAGTCGTTATTCTTAACGCTCGTATGAAAGACCGCGGTTTGAGTCGCGAGAACTCAGAATTTATGCATAAAATCTGCAAAAAACAATATAACCTTAAGTTT